GCATAGGTAGAAATACTGTACCTCCTTGCACAACCAAATTTAAGGACAACAAAGATTTAGAAACAAAAACACAACCAAAACAGACAGAAAATTGAACTGTACCAAAGTTGACAACAACGAACCATTCATCCAGACCGGTAAGAGGGGCAGAGTCGGCAGCTGGTGGAGAGGGGTCCTGGCAGGAAAAGGCAGTGGTTGGAGACCCCACAGGGAGGAAACCAGCAAACCCAGTAAGGCTCACAAGGTGGTTGGCTGACCATGGACACACATTCGCACGCAGATAAACCAGGCAAAAAAACGGGCGGTGAGACAAATTGAGCAACCCAGGGCCCCAGTGACAGGAATTAAAGCCTAAACACCAATTGAAAAAACTTGTGGGGGTTGAGGTGCTGGGAGAGGCTCCCAGCCTCATAGGAGAGTTCATTGGAGAGACACACAGGGTCCTAGAATGTACACAAGCCCATCCACCTGGGGACTAGCACCAGAAGGGCCCAATTTGCTTGTGGGAAGCGGCAGAGGGGACCAAAATCCGAGAGAGCACAGAACAAGCATCATTGCTCCCTCCCTGACCCTGCCCCCACATACAGTGTCATAACCCAGCAACATGGGTTGCCCCGCCCTGGTGAACACCTAAGGCTCGGCCCCTCATACATAACAGGCTCGACCTGACCAAAAATCGCTCAATCAGAAGAAAAAATCAAAGCCCCAGAGCCAATATTTTTAAGCGACCAAGAAGTAGCCAACCTATCAGATGCACAGTTCAAAACATTGGTGATCAGGATGCTCATAGAACTGGTTGATTCTGGTCGCAAATTAGATGAAGAAGTGAAGGCTACACTAAGTGAAATTAAGCAAAATGCACAGGGATCCAATAGTGATGGGAAGAAAACTGGGACTCAAATCAAGGGAGTGGACCAGAAGGAAGAAAGAAACAACCAAACAGAAAAGAATGAAGAAACTGTTCATTCTTCTGTTCCACTGATCTGCCTACACATGTACTAGTTGCAAACTATTTATGTATTATAGACTTATATAGGTTTCTTCAACAGATTTTATTTATTTGCTTTTAGAGAGAGAAGGGAGAGAGGAAGAGAAACATTCATATGCAAGAGATACATCTACCAGTTGCCTCTCACAGCCCCCCAACTGGGGACCTGGCCCACAATCCAGGCATGTGCCCTGACTGGGAATCAGATTGGTGACCTTTTTGTTCATAGACCAGCAGTCAATCCACTGAGCCACACCAGCCAGGGCAACTTATATGTTTCAATATCTGATAGAACTTATTTATTTTTATTGATCTCTACAAACTCTATAATCACAGTTTTCCAAAATAATGCTGGTGTTAATATTTTTCTTGGAATAGAGTTAAATTCAAAAGTTAATTTAGAAATAACTGATAGGTAAAAATACTTAGTGTTTCCATTCAAATTCTCTTTTATGTTATTCAGTAATATTTTAACATTTTCTTCATCTCTACATTCCACATTTCTTTTTTTTTCCTGTGGTTTTCTTTCTTTTTATTCAAAATCAAATTCCTGAGATTGAGCCACACTGATCATATGGCTCATTCATTTTTTTTATAATTTATTTTTTTATTGACTATGCTATTACAGTTGTTCTATTCCCCCTTCATTTCCCTCCACCCTGCACCCCCCACCATTCCCCCCTTTATGACCATGTGTCTCAAGTTCTTTATGACCATGTGTCTCAAGTTCTTTAGATTCTATATTTCCCATACCATTCTTGCCCCCCCATCTATTTTCTATCTACTGTCTATGCTACTTATTTTCTATACCTTCTCCCCCTTTCTCCTCTTCCCACTCCCCTCTTGCTAACCCTCCTTGAGATCTTCATTTCTATGTTCCCACTCCTGATCTAGCTGTCCTTTTAGTTTGCTTTTGTTTTAGGTGTGGTTGTTAATAACTGTGAGTTTGTTGTCCTTTCACTGTTCATGTTTTTTTAACTTCTTTTTCTTAGATAAGTCCCTTTAACATTTCATATAATAAGGGCTTGGTGATGATGAACTCCTTGAATTTGATCTTATCTGAGAAGCACTTTATCTGTCCTTCCATTCTAAATGAAAGTTTTGCTGGACAGAGCAATCTTGGATGTAGGTCTTTGGATTTCATGATTTGGAATACCTCTTTCCAGCCCCTTCTTGCCTGTAAGATCTCTTTTGAGAAATCCGCTGACAGTCTGATGGGAACTCCTTTGTAGGTGACTGTCCCCTTATCTCTTGCTGCTTCTAGGATTCTCTCCTTTATTTTAATCTTGGCTAATGCAATGATGATGTGCCTTGGTGTGTTTCTTCTTGAGTCCAACTTCTTTGGGACACTCTGAGCTTCCTGGATTTCCTGGAAGTCTATTTCCTTTGCCAGATTGGGGAAATTCTCCTTTATTATTTGTTCAAATAAGTTTTCCACTGGTGGCTGTGCCTTTCCCCCTTCTGGTACCCCTATAATTCGGATGTTGGAGCGTTTAAAGATATCCTGGAGGTTCCTAAGACTCTCCTCATTTTTTTGAATTCTTGCTTCTTCACTCTTTTCTATTTGGCCATTATTTGCTTTCTTCTGGTCTACTCCATTGATTTGAGTCTCAGTGTCCTTTTCATCACTATTGGTTTCCTGTGCAATTCCATTCATTTCAATTAGTTTCACCTTCATATGTTTCTCTAATTTGTGGCTATAATCAACCAGTTCTGTGAGGATCCTGATCACCAGTGTTTTAAACTGTGCATCTGAGAGTTTTGCTATTTCTTCATCACTTAGATTTATAGGCTCTGGGGCTTTGAGATCTTCTTGAGCCATTTTTGGTCTGTTCGTGCCAATTAAGTGTGAGGAGCGGAGCCTTGGCCTCCCAGGTTGCTGGGTTGTGATGCTGTATGTGGGGGTGTGGTCAGAGCGGGGAAATGGCGGCCCCCTCTGCTGTTTGGTGCCACTGGGTGAGGAGCAGAGCCTTAGGTGGTTCACCAGGGCTGCGCCACTCAGAGTCACTGGGTTATGACGCTGTATGTGGAGGTGGGGTCAGAGCGGGGAAATGGCCGCACCCTCCACTGCCGCTTGCCATGAGACCCGCTGGGTCCCGGTCCAATCGCCCACTCCCTCACTTGTCTATCCGCGCACCAATGCGCGACCACAGTCAACCCGCAGCCCTGCTCCCTCGCTGTTTCCCCGTGGTCGCTGGGTCTCTCACTAGGTCCAACCCTGTGCCTGGATTCCGCGCGCCTGAGTCCGTCTGACCAAGTTTTCCTGTGCTACCCTGCTTCGCCAGCTGCTGGTTTCGCCCCTCTTACCAGTCAGGCTGAAGAATTTGTTGTTAACAGACTTCCGAAAAGTTCAATTTTCTGTGTTCTGGCTATGTTGCTAATATTTAGTTGTCTCTAAACTTGGTTGTGTGAGAAAGCACGGCGTATCCATCTATGCCTCCATCTTGGTGGAAGTCGTGAGCTCCACATTTCTTGTTGGACTTTTTTCTCGGTTACAAAGAAGTCCAACAAGAAATGGACTTACCTTTTTTGTTACAACTATAAGTTGATGTTTTCTTTCATTAAAATTTCTAGCTGTGTATATGGGTATAGGAAGGCTATGAATTTTTATTTTACATTTGTTGCCACTTTACTAAATTGGTTTTTTGTTTGGTATCTTTCTCAGTTGATTCTCTTCAGTTTTCAGTTGTACCATAGACATGCCATAATCCTGATTCTTCCTATTCAAGTTTTATAGTTCGTTTTTAAAAATTTATAGTTTTTAAAAAAATCTCAGTGGTTAATAACTTCAAAAATAGTAAAGTAATGGTAATAGTCAACATTAAAATGTTTTTCTTTATATTAATGGGAATGCTTTTAGTGTTCCCAATCAAACATTATGTAGCCTTCTTGCTTGAGATATATTTTACCATGTTAGCATATGTATTCCAACTTCAATCAGTAATGTCTGCAAAATAATATAAATGTTTCTAGCATTAAACAGTGGGAGCAAAATATAAAAAAGTTATTAAATTGTCCTTGGCTTTACAGTGATAAATAAAAAACTTTAAAACTCTCCAATCAAACAAGGTATGCAAGAATTTTTGTGTTGTTATTTATTGCTAAACAGTGAGAGCAAGATACAAAATGTTATAATTTTTTCAGCACTTATGGAATAATCATAAGACTTTCTTAGCTCTAGTAAAGTGAAAAATTTCTTAAGATTAAACCATGCTTGCAAATAGAATCCAGCTGGGGTTCATGCTAAAAATGCTAGCACCACATTTAGGACTCAGCATCAGAATTCCTAAGTGAGAAGCTAGCCGCCTGCAAACTTTTTATGTAAGGAGCCAAATAGTAAGTATTTTAGCTTTTGTGAGCCACAGACTGTCTCTGTTGCATACTCTTTTTTTTTAATCCTTTAAAATGGTAAAAACCATTCCTAGTTTGTGAGCAGTACCAACTAGGCCATGGGCCAGATTTAGCCTTAGGCAATAGTTTCTCACCTCCTGGTGTATAGTTTTCTTATATTACACTGGCATTGTAAAGTAACTAATGAAATCTTAAATTTACCTATTCTTTGATAGAAATATTTATTGGAAATATAACTTAATATTTTGAAAAAATGCTCAAGGAGATGAAGGCCAGCCTATAACCCCTTCAAAAATATTTATCACACCCTGACCAGCGTGACTCAGTTGGTTGGGCATCAACCAGCAAAGCAAAAGTTCACCAGTTTGATTCCCAGTCAGGGCTCATGCCTGGGTTGTAGGTCCAGTCCCCAGCTGGGGTGTGTGCAAGAGGCAACTGATTGATGTTTCTCTCACACTTTCATGTTTCACACCCTCTCTTTCTCCCTCCCTTTCCTTCTCTCTAAAAATAAATAAATAAAATATTTTAAAAATCTATTTGTTACCAAGTCTGCCTCATGCAATTTGCGGCAGCTGTGAAGAGTGGGTATCACTGTGCCCTCCAAGAAGAATAGGGCAGAAGCAGAAGTCCTCAGGACACAGCCACAGACAGCTGCACCTACCTCCGCGCCTCCCAGCCAGTCAGCAGACCCTTCTCGGTAGGTGTTCAGGTACCCATCCACCAGGGTGGTTAGGTCAGACATCATCTCGTCTAAGAGCACCAGGCGAAGGGGTAGCAGGTAGGTGGCTTCTAGAGCCAAAATTTTCAGTAAGGAGGGTGGAAGAGGTCGTGTAAACCACACTTCTGTATTCTCCTAGAGACACCAAAACAATTTTCTCTGAATAGTAAGCAAAACCTTAAAGAAAATAATTGTTTATTTAACTGTTGTTTAACTTAAAACACGATTACTGTCATTTTCCTCAGTTATTACCTTCTACTTTCACACTATGGCTGGGCTTTGGAGAATACACACACACTTTATGTGTGTTGTGTGTGTAACTTGGGGGGAATATTCAGGGAGACAGGAATATTCGGGGAGGGGGAGGGAGGAAAGGAGAGAATGGGGAGGGAGGAGAGGGATGGAGACAGGGTGAGGGAGAGAGAGAGAAATCAGAACTTATTTTAAAATGGAGGCCAGAGCAGGGGAGAGGATAATGGGGGAAAGAAGGGGAAGGGCTGTGGAGGAACATGTATAAAGGACCCACAGACAAAGCCAAAGAGGGGCAGGATTGAGGTGCGAGGTGGTCAGTGGGGCAGTGGAGAGTGATGCAGGGAAAATGGAGACAACTGTACTTGAATTAAAAAAAAAAAAAACTGGAGGGAGCAGACTTGGTTATGTGGACAAAATTATAGCCAGTATGGTCTAGACCCCAGTCTGGCATGAAAGACTATCAGGAGGTAAATAAAATCTACTTTACTTTGAGAGAAATAATTGGGATTATTTTTGTTCTATTGCTTAGTCCAAATTCTCAACCTAATCATCTCTCGTCCCAGCTTTGAAATGTATTTCAGACTGCTTTTAAATTGATAAACAACCAATTTGGACCCTGGCTCTTACTCACTTGAGACCACAAACAAACTGTTCCCATTAGGAACAACTGACATTTTAGCAATGTTCCCATGCTTACATGGCAACTGTCATTTCTCTTTGGAATATGCTGATAAACCCACTCAGAAAACCCTTGAAAAAATTAATGTCATAAGGGATATCCTTTAATACTCACCCGAATCAGTTTCTGTCTCTCTTCCAGAAAGGAAAGATATTTAGGGGCTACTTTAAGGTGTCTTATTAAACTCTCCTGTAAAGTACTGATGCAGTTTGGAAGAAAGCCACCTGTTTCCACGGAAAATTGAAGGACATCTGCCACCTGTGGCAATTAAGAAAAAAAAAACACAGACCAATTTGTAGAATGTATACACAGAGCCATCTTCTGGAAGAAATATATTTAGAGAAATGTCTTTAAATACCATTTTCTCCAAGAATCCACATGAAAATTTAAAGTGGTACAGTATACTTATTCTGAAAAATTAGGGGAAAAAAAGAAAAAGGATCACAATTTTAATGTGTCCTTGTCTCCTTTCTTTTCCACTTTTTTATTTGCCTGCTTTATGGCTATTTATTTCTTTTTGGGTACCTTTGGAGAACAGGGAAAGATAAAATTCAAGAATTATTTTTATTAATTTATTAGCAACTCTGGTAAAGTTTTGGTAAGGAAAGTTAATACAATTAGGAATTGAAATAATTATTTAGCTGTGTGTGATTAGCTAAATGATGGTCCCCAAAGATGAACCTGTGAACGTAATTTTATGTGGCAAAATGGAATTTGAAGCTGTAATTGAGGATCTTGAGATGGGGAGATTATCTTGAATTATCTGGGGGCAGGGGCTACATGTATCATAAGTATTCTTATAAGAGGGAGGCTGAGAGAGACTCTGCTGTGGCAGGAGGGACTGGAGTGGTGAGCTGTGAAGATGGAAGGAGCACAAGCCAAAGAACACAGATGGAAACGGAAAAGGCAAGGAGACAGACTCTTCCCCGTCAAAGTCTCCAGAAGAAACCAGCCCTGCTGACACCTTGACTTCAGCCCAATGAGCATGTTTCAGATTTCCGACCTCCACAACTGCAAGGGAGTCTAATGTTGTTTAAGCCACTAAATTTGTGATTTGTTACAACAGCAAGAGAAAACTAGTACATTGCATTAAGGGAAAACAAATTGGGAAAGCTCAATTCCTGTTTCTTACTCTATGGAAATCTGAAAAAAAAATATATGAAAAAATATGCCTGTGTCTTCATTACACAATACACATGGGGTCAAGGGAACAATGAACAATTATCTTGCATTTGGAGTAAACACAAAGGCAATCTCTACAGAGTGAAAGATCCTGAAAGAAGGCCCAAAGGAACATGTAAATGAGCAGATACATAAAGGGCAAACTGAATCACATATAGCAATTAAAAATTGAACTTTTAGGAATTTCCACTCAAAAATAATTGGCAACTCATTAGTTTAACCCCTCTCCAAAGGCTCTAGGGCTTATATATTCAAGATCCCCCTTCCACTAGCATAAACCTAGAAGAACCTTATGAAAACTAGTGGTTTTCCTGCTCTCACAGCCAAATCATGCTCTAAGAGATAGTACAATATAAGAATTTCTCATTTCCCTAGGGTCCTTTAGAGTGGAGAAGAATCACACATCTTCAGGCTATTTGGGGGCCAAAATAGACCTTTGGGGCATGTATAGTACAACCCGCATCCCTGAGCTAGATGCCAACTAGCCACAAGTTTTAACTCATACATATGTGGAGAAGGCAGAGATGTGATTGTTCACCTCATACTAAGTGTCCCATGTCAGACTTCTGAATGACCCCCAACTTGTTCAAGTTTCTAAATGTTGTAGAGTATGGAGCTTGCTCCTTATTTGACAAATTCTGGAGCAAAATAAGGGGGAAAATCCTAAATACTTTTATGTAACTTTTCTGCAGTGATTTTAGAGTTCATCAAATGATCTCACATATTATACAATCATCTTACATGAGAAATGAGTGGGAATGGGACACACATACAGAAAGACTTTCAACTGCTCATCAGACAAGACCTATTTCCTAGAGGAGCTACGTGCAGTAGATTGAGCCAGTGTTTCCTTGCATGTACCTGTGTATCGAAGACATTATTCAGCACAATTCCATACTGATGAGAGAGGCAATCAGAAAGGCAACGACAATCATGGATAACCTAACGTATCAAAAGACAGAGACAGAGTAATTAGAACCTGGCTGCAAATTTTATGAGCAGAGGAATCTGCCTACACACTCACCTTCAAAATTCTCTTGTCTTCTAACACCATCTGTAGTCCATTGTTGAAAGCACGACTTCCCAGCAGGAAAATGTCAAATAAGTAGACACGACTATTTGTAGCCACCTACAATAAACCACCCAGACCCACATGTTATAGAATAGGAAGAACTAGGAAAGGGAATTTGGGGGCCAAGAAAGACATGATAAAATATTTAACAGCCTCACTTTAAAAGTAAACAATAGTGCATTCGATATTCTTAGAGAAATTGGGTTTATAGTGATCTTAAGTTAAGAAAAAAGACAGTATGACTGTAATTTTAAAAAAAAATAGAAATAGACAAGCTGATAATTTAGCCTTTCACTTTTCACTGTCACAACTGTCTTTTACCATTCTCACCTATGGCATTCTAATATTCCAGTCAGTCCCGTGACTATTAGAGGTTTAAGGGGGATAAACAGTATTTCGTTAACAACACAAAATGCTATTTTATGTTTCTGAGTTACCTAATGGGAATGAATGGGTTAAGTATTACAGGAAATTACTCATAAGAGAAGATCCCAGTCCCCTAGCAGGAAAAAACAAAACAAAAAATGGGCAACAAGTATACTGGCACAAATGGCAGGATGTGAAACACTGCTTTATAGATCAATTTCATACAATCATAAGAATTCTTGATTGTTTCTGATCACAAAAGTCACAGAAGCAGCACAGTGAGATTATCTACTGAGTCAGGAAGTGCAAGGCAAAAACGATGCAAATAGGTCTAGAGAGCCAGCCAGCCATGAGACAGGCCGATGCCATCTGTGTCATTTCAGGAGCTAACTGTTGTTATAGCTACAACTGCCAGGCCTACTTGGTGCCTGTCCTTAGATCCTTCATGATAGTTGCTAGAATTTGACACCTAAATAATCAATCGCTGCTCTTTTTCCCTACATTTTTAATTATAAAAATTGAATTAACACTAAAAGTTTGGAAAATAATTCTCTGCTAGACTGTAAATTCTATGAGACAAGAGATTATGTTGGATTCGCCACCACACATGCGACCAGAACAGAGCCAGGCACATGGATGGCTATTACACATTTTTCAGCAGATCAATGCATGCCACCCAGTATTTGCTTTTATTTTTTCATATGCAAAGAATGTACATGGCTCCAATAATATGCATCCAAATCTATACCCTGCTTTTTCCATTAATGAATTTTCAAATATTTTCTACATTACACTTGTCATGATTTTTTTGGCAACCATAAGGAGTTATAAAATGTATTATGACTTCTGTCATTAACTATTTAAATGGTTTCTGATTTTTGACTATTATAAATGATACTAAGATAAATAAATTCTCACATATTCTTTCTTCACATTTTGAATTATTTAGGATAATTCCTAGAAGTGGCCCTGAGAAATGAGCCAAAGGGCATTAAAAAAAACTTCCAACTCTCAACAAATATTTGCTAGCTTCATCTTATTATTTTTTAATTTTAAATAATTTTATATTTTTCAATTACCATTGACATACATTACATTAGTTGCAAACATACAATCCAGTGAGTAGACATTTATATAACTTATGAGGTGATCACCCCCATAAAACTAGTACCCATCTAACACCATTCATAGTTATTACTTGACTATATTACCTATGCTGTACTTTACAGTCCCGTGACTATTCTGTAACTACCAATTTGTACTTCTTAATCCCTTCACATTTTTACCCATTCCCCACTAAGGTACTCATTCCACAACTGGGAATCGAACCAGCAACCCCTTGCTTTATAGGCCAACCCTCATCCACTGAACCACACCAACCAGGGCCATTTTGTTCATCTTTTCTTTTGCTGTGCATAGCTTTTTAGTTTGATGTAGTCTCATTTGTTTATTTTTGGTTTTATTGCTTATGGAGGTTTAAGTAATTTTCATTGGTCCTGCTAACACAAACCTAGTCATCTAAAAGCTAAGGTTTACCTAGACAGTGCAAGGAATGAGAGACGCAATTTAATCCTTAAGCAAAACTGAGCTTGATACCTCCATTTATTTCTCTTCGAGAAGGTGAACATTCCAGAAAAAGAACATCAAAAGGGCAGAATGCCAATCCTAATAAAAAATATCATCTCAGTAGGTGGAGGTACATCTTGACTCAAAGGATAGAGACTTTGTTTGGGTATTCCACCCCTTAAGTGTGGATGCTGCTCACTTTGATGCAAAGGTAGCTACCCAACCTCTAGCTATGCAAGACTCACCACAAAGTTCTTTTGATATAATGGGGATCCTTACCTGACATCTCTCAGGTTCAGAAAAATAAAAAGGATGTAGTAGAAACCTGCTGTGGAAAGCTACCAAACAAAAGGAAAGATGGGCGACTCTCTGCATATCTAAGGCAAGAGAACGGAGCTGGGAAAGAAGACCAGGGTCTGTGGGACGGCAATAACAATGATAAAAGCGAATCTGTGGACAGAAACTCTTCTTTTGAGAAGAATAAATTCAGTAGTAAAAGAGTGGAAGATGTTCCATATAAGTTACAGTACAGTGCTACTTGGGTGACATACAGAAGACAATTAAAATAAATTTACCCAGTGAGTCTACAATCATTTGAAAATGAAAAGTTTTTTAAAAATTATTTTTTACCTGAAGCCAGCATAGTTTCCCATGACGACAAACATTTGCTCCTTCTGCAGCCACACCCAAGACACTCTGCTTCTTGATGTGGAGCATCTAACAAGAAAAGGAAGAAAATACAATTCTCTAGGGAATTAATTTTGCAATTATGATATCATTGATGACACAAGTAAAATTAACAAAGTAGATCATATTTTTTAAACTCACAAAATCTGACTAATCCAAAACAGGAGTCTGCTTCATATACACACCCGCCCCCCCCACCACCACCACCACGTCATACCATTAAACACTTGTGATCCTTTTTTTCAGTTTTCACAGAATTATTCCACAACTGGAAAAATAAATCATTCACATCCCCAATGCTAGTAAGAACTGAAAACTTTGGTACCTTTTGTTACCACTGATGCAACAGAGAAAGATGCATCAAAGAACAGCACCCTAACACAGGGCAACTTACTGTACCTGAAGGGAACTCATGTAGTAGCTGAGTTCCACAGTATCTACTGTTCAGAATCAGAGAAACAAGGATTCAACAGGTCCCTTAAAGTCTTGGATTCATTAAATTACTCAAGACTATGGTCCTTTGATTATCTATACTCTTATCCTACTAGTATTTCAAAAGATTATATAACTCTAGGATTCTTAATCCACAATCTATAAAAATATCTGCATGATATAAGACACTCCGTATTTTATAGGTAGGTAAATTACTCAAGAATTCAAGGGTGTGGTAACTTACACTAACACAATATCTTCCTTTAGAGTAGGGGTGTCAAACTCATTTTCACTGGGGTCCACATCAGCCTTGCAGTTGCCTTCAAAAGGCCGAATGGAATTTTAGGACTGTATAAATGTAGCTACTTCTTAAGTAGGGGCAAGGAGTTCAGCGCTGCCAGGCCAAATAAAACAAGGTGGAGGGCCGGATTCAGCCCGAAGGCCTTGTGTTTGTCACCTGTGCTTTAGAGAGTATCTTTTATCAATGAAAAAAGGAGAATGAAGTTTAGTTTCATTCTCAATCAACAACAAGGCTGCAGAACTGGAAACAAAGGCTGTACTTCCCTATTGATAAGAATTCCCAACTACCTCTTCAAATTTCCCAAACAAAAGTTCTTACTCCATTTCTGTTGTTGTCATGGACCCTTTAAGCAATCTGTTGATATAGAAAGAATTCTTATAACTTAATTTAAAAGTGGGCAAAAGTCAGAAACTACTATAAAGGACACATGGACAAAACCAAGGGGGAAGGTGGAAGCAAGGGAGGGAGGGAGGTTTGACTGGGGTGAGGAGAAAATTCAGACAACTGTAATTGAACAACAATTAAGTAATTTGAAAAAAAAAAAGTCTCAAAAAAAGTGGGCAAAAAATAGACATTTCTCTGAAGAAGGTATTCAAATAGCCAAAAAGCACATTAAAAAATAGTCAGCATTATTGGCTAGCAGGGAAATGCAAATCAAAACCACAGTGAGATGCCATTTCACATCCACTAGGATGACTGCAATCAAAATGACAGGCACCATAGTCTCAAGGCTTTAAATATCACTAGAGGCTAAGTCTTGGATTTGTATCTCCACCTGAGACCATTTTCCTCATCTCTAGAATTACATTCAAACTTAGGTTGACAGAAACTAAAGTCCTAATTTTCTTCCCCAAACCTTTTCCACCCATACTCTTTCCCATCTCAGTTTAACAGCAAGTCCACACTTCAGGTGAGAATGTGGAGAAATCAGAACCCTCCCATCCTGCTGGGGGATCAAATGGTACAGCAGCCTTGGAAAACAGTATGACCAATCCTTAAAAAATTTGACAGCAATTCTACTCCCAGGTATCTATCCAAGAGAAATAAAAACATATATCCACACAAAAACCCGTGCATGAATGTTCACAGCAGCATTGTTTATAATAGCCAAAAAGTAGAAATAATCCACATGTCCCTCAAATGGCAAAAGGATAAATTAAATGTGGTATATCCAAACAAAGGAATATTTGGCAATAGAAGTAAGTGAAATACTGGTATAAGCTATTACATAGATGAACCTTTAAAATGTTATGCTAAGCAAAAGAAGTCAGCTACAAATGAAAATATATTGTATGGTCCCATTTGTATGAAATGCCTTAAACACTCAAATCCATAGAGGCCAGAAATAGGTTAGCAACTGTCTGGGGCCAGGGAGGGGTCAGAGGTGATGGCTAAGGAGTATGAGGTTTCTTGCAGAAGTATTAGAATGTTCTAAAAATTATTTTGGTGATGTATGTACACAACTCTTTTAATACATTAAAAGTTAGAGAACTAACCCTGGCTGGTGTAGCTCAGTGGATTGAGCATGGTTTGATTCCCAGTCAGGGCACATGCCTGGCTGGGTCGCAGGCCAGTTCCCAGCAGGGGCCAGTTCCCAGCAGGAGATGCACTAGAAGCAACCATACATTGATATTTCTCTCCCTCTCTCCTTCCCTTCCCCTCTAAAGATAAATAAATAAAATCTTAAAAAAAAAAAGTTAGAGAACTGTAAATTTTAAGTCAGTGAATTTATGGCACATACATTATATCTCAACAAAGCTATTTTTTTAAAAAAAGAATCTGTTGGAAGGTAATGCTCTCTCAAAAAATGTACCCATGAGGCTTCTGGTCAAGATGGCAGTGTAGGCAGACATGGCTCGCCTACTGTCACAACTATATCAAACTTAACAACTAAAAGATAGAATAACCATCACTCAGGAACATCAGAAATCCAGTTGAATGAAAGTCTGACAACGGAGTTAAAGAAACCACATATATCCAGACTGGTAGGAGGGGTAAGGATGCTGAATGGGCTGGCCCCACACACATGGGTAAAAATTCAGGAGGGATATCTCAGGAGCAAGGAGTCCCAGGCCCCCCACCCAAGAGTTCCAGTGCCAGGAAGATAAGTCCCCACAACTTCTGGCTGCAAAAACGAGCAGAGATTGAGTTGGTGAAGGAGGCTGCTGGAGCCCTAAGCAGTTCCTCTTGGGAACCCACACATGGACTCACCTACTCAGACTCGCTCTCTCTGAGCTCCAGCACCAGAGTGGCAGCTTGAAAGGCTCTAGTACACAGGGAGAGAATGAGTGTCTGGCACTGGGATGAGCAGAGGTCACTGTCCTTTTGCTGAGCTCTCATCACAAGAGCTGGTAGACTGGTACCATATCTGAGATTCCATCAACTAGGCTAACACTGTGGTAACCCACTAGGAGATCTACAGAGGCTCTGCCCCGCCCAATTTATGGCCCCACCCAAGCTGCTTTTCTTTAAGAATGGTTGGTCTTAGCTCCTAAATCCTATCAAACAAGCAACAGCAGGCCTCAGTAAGCTCCAGGCTAGACACTAGAAGCAGCTAGGCTAGACTCACATCTTGGCTCCACCTGGGAATCTATAAGCCCAACACAAGTAGCAGCCATCTCAGAATGCTTTACAGTTCAGGCAGGGTGGCTGTGGGCAAAACACAGGTGTGGCTGACTTTGACTTGCACCACCCAGGACACCCCAGGGTCAAACACCAGTGAACAGCTACAGACTACATCAGAGCACTGCCACCCTGCCCCTGCACAGCTGATCCTCCATGGAGGGTGCAGGTTGGTGGTCAGTGGTCATAGCCAGTCCTTACAGCTCACTGGCCTGGGTAAATCCTTCCCATTGATCTGCCAACAGCAATCAAAGATCAACTACTAGAGTGAGTACTCTACCCACACAAAGGATGCACCTCGAGTTCCCAGCTTGAGTGACAGGGGAGGCTATGCCACTGGACCCTATATGACACCTATATTAGGCCACACTACCAAGATGCAGAGTCAAAGCAGCTCTACCTAATACATAGAAACAAATGCAGGGAGGTTGACAAAATGAGGAGATGAAGAAACATGGCCCAAATGAAAGAACAGATCAAAACTCCAGAAAAAGAGCTAAATGAAATGGAAATGAGCAATCTTTCAGATGCAGAGTTCAAAACACTGTTATAAGGATGCTCAAGGACCTTAAGGAGGACCTCAGCAACATAAAAAGACCCAGTCAGAAACGAAAGACACACTAACTGCAATAAAGAACACTTTACAGGGAAACAAGAGTAGAGTGGATGAAGCCAAGAATCAAATCAATGATTTGGAACATAAGGAAGCAAAAAACAACCACACAGAACAACAAGAAGAAAAAATAATCCAAAAAAATGAGGATAGTATAAACAGTCTCTGGGACAACTTTAAGAGGTCCAACATTTGCTTCATAAGGGTACCAGAAAGAGAAGAGGCAGAGCAAGAAATTGGAAACCTTTTTGAAAATATAGGGAAAGAAAACTTCCCTAATTTGGTGAAGGAAAAAGACATGTAAGTCCAAGAAGTGCAGAGTCCCAATTATGGTGAATGCAAAGAGGTCCACTCCAAGATACACATCATTATTAAAAGGCCAATGGTTAAAGATAAAGAGAGACCCTTAACAGCAAGAGAAGTTACCAGTAGGTTGCCAGATGGGAGAGGGGGAGGGGAAATGGGTGAAGTGGTGAGGGGATTAAGAAGTACTAATAGGTAGTTACAGAATAGGTGTGGGGATGTAAAGTACAGTATAGGAAATGGATTAGCTAAAGAACTTATACAGGACTTCCGCCAAGATGGAGGCATAGGTGGATGTGCCGTGCCTTCTCACACAACCAAGTTTAGAGACAACTAGATATTAGCAACAGAAAACACAACCAGAACACGGAAAATTGAACTTTTTGGAAGTCCGTTAACAACAAATTCTTCAGCCTGACCGGTAAGGGACGAAACCAGCGGCTGGTGAAGTGGGGTTGCACAGGAAAACTCGGTCAGACGGACTCAGGCGCGGAATCCAGACTCGAGGAATCCAGACGCACGGAATCCAGGCACAGGGCTGGACCTAGTGAGCCACTGAGCGAGCAACCAGGCGAGCGACCGTGGGGGAGACAGCGGAGGAGCGGTGCTGCGTGTTGACTGTGGTCGTGCATTTGTGCGTGGGTGGACAGGCGAGGGAGTGGGCGGTTGGACCAGGGCCCGGCGGGTCCTGTGGCAAGCGGCAGTAGAGGGCGCCGCCATTTCCCTGCTCTGACCCCACCTCCACATACAGCGTCATAACCCAGCGACTCTGAGTGGCCCGGCCCAAGGGAACCACCTTAAGCACTGCTCCTCACCCAGCTGTGAGAAACAGCAGAGGGGGTCGCCATTCCCCACTCTGACCATGCCCCCACATACAGCGTCACAACCCAGAGACCTGGGAGTTCAAGGCGCTGCTTCTCACACTTAATTGGCACGAACAGACCAAAAATGGTGCAGGAAGATCTCAAAGCCCCAGAACCTATAGATCTAAGCGATGAAGAAATAGCAAAACTCTCAGACGCACAGTTTAAAACACTGGTGATCAGGATCCTTACAGAACTGGTTGATTATACCCACAAATTAGACAAATATATGAAGGCGAAACTAATTGAAATTAATGGAATTGCACAGGAAACCAATAGCAATGAAAAGGAAACTGGGACTCAAATCAATGGAGTGGACCAGAAGAAAGCAAATAATGGCCAAACAGAAAAGAGTCAAGAAGCAAGAATTCAAAGAAATGAGGAGAGTCTTAGGAACCTCCAGGACATCTTTAAACGCTCCAACATCCGAATTATAGGGGTACCAGAAGGGGGAAAGGCACAGCCGCCAGTGGAAAACTTATTTGAACAAATAATAAAGGAGAATTTCCCCAATCTGGCAAAGGGAAATAGACTTCCAGGAAATCCAGGAAGCTCAGAGAGTCCCAAAGAAGTTGGACCCAAGAAGGAACACACCAAGGCACATCATAATTACATTCGCCAAAATTAAAATGAAGGAGACAATCCTAGAAGCAGCAAGAGCTAAGGGGACAGTCACCTACAAAGGAGTCCCCATCAGACTGTCAGCTGATTTCTCAAAAGAGACCTTACAGGCAAGAAGGGGCTGGAAAGAGGTATTCCAAGTCATGAAATCCAAAGACCTACAACCAAGATTGCTCTATCCAGCAAAACTTTCATTTAGAATGGAAGGACAGATAAAGTGCTTCTCAGATAAGATCAAATTCAAGTAGTTCATCATCACCAAGCCCTTATTATATGAAATGTTAAAGGGACTTATCTAAGAAAAAGAAGTTAAAGAAACATGAACAGTGAAAGGACAACAAACTCACAGTTATTAACAACCACACCTAAAATGAAAGCAAACTAAAAGGACAGCTAGATCAGGAGTGGAAACATAGAAATGAAGATCTCAAGGAGGGTTAGCAACAGGGGAGTGGGAGGAGGAGAAGGGGGGAGAAGGTACAGAAAATAAGTAGCATAGACAGTAGATAGAAAACAGAAGGGGGGGGCAAGAATAGCATGGGAAATATAGAATCTAAAGGACTTGAGACACATGGTCATAAACTAAAGGGGGGGTAATGGAGGGGATGGGGGGTAGGGTGGAGGGGAATGAAAGGGGGAATAGAACAACTGTAACAGCATAATCAATAAAAAAATTTAAAAAAATTAAAAAGAAAAGAACTTATACATATGACCCCTGGACATTAACAATGGACATTGTTTGAGGGAGCAGGGGGTGCTGGGTGGAGGGGGGCAATGGGGGAAATATCAGGATAACTGTAACAGCATAATCAATAAAATAGAATTTAAAAATTAAAAAAAAACCCAGACTGGTGCGGCTCAGTGGATTGAGTGCTGGCCTGTGAACCAAAGGGTTGCCGATTTGATTCCCAGTCAGGGCACATGCCTGGGTGCAGGCCAGGTCCCAAGCTGGGGCGTGCAAAAGGCAAACCACACATTGACGTTTCTCTCTCTCTCTTTCTCTCTCCCTTTAGAAATAAATTAATTAAATCTTTAAAACATTTTTACAAAATGTACCCATGCAGACACAAGCATAAGCTTGCACCTAAACAGAAAGCATAATGACTCCCCAGAAGTCCAACTGTGAACTATACCCCTAAGCTGCCATGCCTCAAAATAATAAATGGTTATAGAAAAACTGCCCAAACAGAGCAACTAGAATTGTGTCTTTAAAACATAAGTAAAAACAAATTTCCAACTTTCCTCTAAAAGTGCCAGGGGTTGTCCATCTCACTCAAGCCAAATTCAAAATCCTTATAATGTCTAAAAAAGCCCTACCTGAACTACTTCCTGTTTCTTCTCACTTCCTGTTACTCTTCTTCACTGTGGTCCTGCCACACTAACCTCCCTGCTGTTCCTTCACACAAGCCACACGTGCTCCAGTTTCAGGGCCTTGGCACTTGCTAATTACACCTTCTTTAATTTCTTTAACTTAGGTAGCCACATCCTTGGCTCTGTTCTTTCAGGTCTGTGTTCCAAAGTCACCTCTTCACAGAGGTTTTCTCTGTCTAAAAACAGAAACTCTCTGTCGCTCTATTCACCACACCACACTTCATTTGTTTTTCATAAATCTTATCACCAGGTGATATATAATTATTCATCTTCTTGCACTAAAATGTAAGCTCCTTGAGGGCTGGAAACTGATTCTTGTTTTATCCCAAACTTCAGAACAATGTCTGGCATACAGTAGGCACTCAAATATTTTGTTAAATTATTAGAGAAAACATCAGTAATCTTATAGTAAGAGAAAAATGTGTGAGACATAGACATGATACTCATATGCAGACAATACTGAGCATGAATGAGGTGATACTTACTGCGGCACCAAACTTCTGCTGGAACTGATCAACGACTGTGTATGTCACCTCTTCTTCCTCTACAGGGGAATGACGGTATGAGATATATTTGTCTTCCTTGGAAATAGAGTAGCCTTCCCACTAATTTTAGCCATATTAATAAATTCCTACTCTATTGTAACTCAAACATCCAATGTTATTTTACTATCGCCTGCATCAGCCCATCACACAGTGAACACTATTAGCATCCTGTTTGTCAACTGAGAATAAACAAAAGCCCCACCATTGATAATTTTATGAATTGGACTATTCAGTCATTTCCTGTGATAATCCAGGAATGTTTTCTTCCTATAGGTTGTCCTAAAATATTTCAAGATATGCACTTTTTTAAACTTTATTTTTATTGTTGACATTATCACAGATGTCCCCATTTCACTCCACCCCTTTGCTTGTCTCCACCCAGCCCTCACCCTGCTTCCCTCTGGCCATCACCACACTGTTGTCTGTGTGCGGGTTATGCTTATATGTTCTTTGGCTAATCTCTTCCCCTTCTTTCATCTAGTGTCTCCCTCCCCAGTCTGTTCCATGTATCCATACCTCTGGGGTTTGTTTTGTTTTTTGTTCAGCAGTTTATTTGGTTTATTAGAACCCACATCTAAGTGAGACCATGTGTTTTTTTTTTCTTCTGGCTGGCTTATTTCACTTAGCATAATAATCTCCAGGTCCATCCATGCTGTCGCAAAAGCATATTCAAAACAAAAAAATTACAGTTTAAAATAAATTTTTTAATTAAAAAAAATTAGTCCTGGAGAAAGGCCAATGTCCAACCTTTTGGAATTCTCTAGGTTCTGAAAATTAAATATTTTTAAATTATGTAATTGAAAAGATTACAATTACAGTATAACATGTAGTTCTTCTTCATCTCCCAACCTCTAAAACTTTGGAGTGGCACAGGACGCAGTCCAGGAACCTCTTTCTTTTTTCTAACCATACTCACTCTTCTGGTGAGCTATGTCTTCTAGTCTCAAGATTTTAAATATCACTTACAGGCTAACTCTTGAATTTATAGCTCTACCTCAGACCTTTCCCCTCATATCTAGACTTAACATTCAAACTTAGGTTGACAGAAACTAAAGTCCTAATTATCTCCCCAAAACCTTTTCCACCCATAGTCTTTCCCATCTCGGCTTAATAACTTAGGCTCAACCCCCTGAAGTCATCCTTGATTCTTCTCTTTCTCTCATATCCACATCTGATCCATCAGTACGCCGTGTATGCTCCACCTCAACATACATCCAGAATTCCACCATTTCTTTTTTTCTTTTAAAGATTTTATTTATTTTTAGAGAGAGGGCAAGGGAGGGAGAAAGAGAGGGAGAAACATCGATGAGAGAGAGAACTATGGATCTATTGCCTCTTGTAGGTGCCCCAACAGAGGGATGGAACCTGAACCCCAGGCATGTTACCTGACCAGGAATTGAACAAGTGGCCTTTTGCTTTGTGGAATGACGCCCTACCCACTGGGCCACATGGGTCAGGGCTGCCACTTCTTACCATCCACACAGCTACTACTACAGTCCAAGCCCCATCATACCCACTCATCTTAAAATATTTCAATAGCCTCCTGTACATGCTTTCATCTTTGCCCTCTTGTCAGCATTTCTCTATACAGCCTTCAGAGAGGCTTGTTCAAACAGAAGTCAGATCATGTTACTCTACTGCTCAAAACTTTCCAATGGGAAATAAAAGTTTTAAAATAGTATACAATAGTATAATATGAAATACTTAGAGATAAATATGGCAAAAAATATAAAGACATGCTGGGGACTATAAAACATTGCTGAGAAATTAAATCTAAAGAAATGGAAAGATATACTAGGTAAATAGACTGGGATACTTAATATTGTTAAGATGCCAATATTTCCCTATCTATAAATTCAATGCAATCTCAATAAAAATTGCAGTGGGGTTTTTTTGGGTAGAAATTAACAGGCTAATTTTAAAGTTCATAGGGAAATTTAAAAAACTGAGAATAGACAAAACAACTTTGAAAAAGAACATCACCAGACTTCAAGCATAAATTGATTGTAAACAGTCTATTGTTGGTGTAAAGATAGAAAAATAGATCAATGTCAGAGAATAGAGTGTTGAGAAATAAACCTACACATTTATAGACAACTGATTTTTGACAAAGGTGCATAAACATAATTGAGTGAAGAATATATAGTCTTTTAAACAAATGGTGCTGGAACAACTGGTTATTCATATGCAAAAAAGAAACTTTGATTCATACCTCACATCTATACAAAGATTAACTGAAAATGGACCATAGACCTAAATGTAAACCTAAAACTTATGAAATAGCTAGAAGAAAATATGGAGAAAATCTTTGTAACTTTGGGTTATGAAAAAATTTCTTAGAAATAATATCAAAAGCATTATCCATAAAAGACAATATAGATAAAATGTGGTTCATCAAAATTTTAAAAGTCTGCCCTTTGATACTTTAAGAGAATGAAAAGCCAGGCCACAGGTTTAGAGAAAATATTTACAAAGCATTTATGAGAAAAGGCTTGTACCCAGAATATATAAAGAACGCCTAACATTGAATAATAAGAAAATACTTCAATAAGAAAAATGAGCAAAAGATATGAACGGACATTTTAGCAAAGATATTCAATGGGAAATAAACACATAAAAAGATCTTCAAAATCCTTAGTCATTGGGGAAATGATAAATCCAAAAACTCCTCAGTGGCTTCTCTTCTCACTTCAGAGTAAAAGCCACTTCAATAATTACAATGTCTCCCATGATCCACTGACCCCGCTTCATCTCCTCTACTCTCCTCCAGCACACTGATCTCCTTGCTGTCATGTCAAGACCCTGACGTGTTCCCATCTCAGGGCCTTTGTATTTGTTTTCTTTCCTGCTCCCCAAATATTTCCCACAGATACCCATATAGCTCCACCCCTCGCCTCCTCCGGGCCATTACTCATGTCACCATTTCAGGAAGGTGTATCCTGGACACCCTAAATTGTAAAACCACCCTCTCCACAGACTTCCACTCTTTCTTCCTTTTTTCTCTCCACAGCATCTCGCACTAGCACACTATATATTATAGCCATGTATCTTATTTAATTATTTAGTGTGTGTTTCCTAAACCAGAGCTCAATGAGGGCACAGATACCACACCTCAGTATACCAAATGTCCAGATATAGTGTGCACTCAAATATTACATCGACCAAGGAAGCAAGATGTTATCTTAATCCAATGACTAAGAAGCAATGACTTAGCTGAACATTCCACATGGAACCCTGACTCAGGGTCATGCCAACTCTGAAGAGTTGTGAACCACAATAAAGAGAGGCCCAGCACTCACCCGACAGGCTGTACTTGAGGTCATTCAGGAGAGAGGTGGTTGGTGCCTCAAAAGCAGGAGAAGGAAGCTCACATACACTTAGGTCTTCATTTTTCATTTTATCCATCCTGGTGCTCTCTGTATTTGGACTGTGCTTACAAAAAAGCAACACTCAGGTGAATTGTTCTTTGTTGTTAAAGCCATACACAGATTTTGCCACATGTCAATGATAAGAACTCTAGACATTCATCTGTTTCATAGCTGGCCCATTCATCCACTGCTTACCTGACTTGGATATACCATCTAAAGATGGGGAAAATACCCATCTATTTTTTTCTCATTTCTATTACCTCAGGTCATTTTAGGAATTACCCAGCTAGTGAATTAGAGTTAAGACATTCTACCCTGACGTGTACATTTGGGTAACATCATAATTAAGAAAATTATTCCATCATACCTAACAGAGGATGACTTTTCTCCCAATGAAGTTTGTCCTGCTTCATCCAGTAGCTCCACTGTAAAATAAACAAATGGCTTCCAACAGTTTCCAACCTGAAAGCAATTAACACCCCATCTATCCTCAGATGGGCTGTGGATGTCTGACTGTATACCACAGACAGTAATTAGAAATGAAATGTTGGTCCCTGGAGGACCTTATACGCTATCTATAAAAGAGAGTAGAAAAGACTATCATTTCGATTACAGTTGACATTCAGTATTGTGTTAGTTTCAGGTGTACAGCATAGTGGTTAGACATTTATATAACTTACTAAGTGATCACCCAGACACCTGGCACCATATATAGTTACTGCAATATTATTGACTGAATTCCGTATGCTATACTTTATATCCCCATGACTATTTTGTAACTGCCAATTTGTGGTTCTTAATCCCCTCACTTTTTTCACCCAGTCTCCCAACCTCCATCCCTTCTGGCAACCACCAGCTGATTCTCTATGAATTTGTTTCGGTTCTGTTGTTCATTTATTTTGTTTTTTAGATTCCATATATGAGTAAAATCATATTTTTCTTTCTCTGATTTGTTTCACTAAGCATAATACCCTCTAGGTTCACCCATGTTGTTGCAAATGGTAAAATTTCATTCTTTTCATGGCCAAGTAATATTCCATTGTATATATGTAGCACTTCTTCTTTATCCAAATGCCTATCACTATATCTCTATGTAGCTTGGCCTTCAGAAGGATTAGAAAACTCTTTACATGTGCCCTTTACCCTTTGTGTTCCAAGGCACCTTTCTGGTAATACAGATTGGTTCTAGAGATATCTTTTTTCTTCTACTCATTCTCATCCTAATGCACTTTCCCTCACACTATATACTGTTTGGGGGTTTTCTACAAAATCATTTACAGAACTGTCCCCTTCAAAACTCTCATAGACTGCTACATTAGTAGTTCAGTGACATGAAAGGTAATAAAAGCTAGACTGGAAGTAATAAAAGATATATAAGAGAAAACATTCCATGAGATTCAGAAACTATTTTTGACCTAGCAGTACAAGGGAATGTAGGAAATATCATATATCATTGATTTGATCAGGCACATTTTAAACAGCTCTGAAATTGTATATGATTTACAGTAACTGCACATGACAATTTAACTGGCAGCTTTTTTTTCCTTCTTAGGATGGGAAAAATAATAGTGTATGTTACAATTAATGGCATCTTGATTCAAGTAAGTACACTTAGTTACTTTTCAGGGGGAAAGGCTGTCAAGGGCCTCTCTCAAATGTCTCTTTCCCCTGCACTACCTAGAAGTGTTGAGCCAGGGGCAGAGAAGGTGAAATTCACTAAAAACAATGATCAGCCCATTATTACCCTTCATCTTGATAATTCTTATTCAAGGTGCTTTTCAGGGAGACCCCCTCCACCCCTGATTGAGACACAGGGCAAAGAAGGAGGAAGTCATTTTTTGAGCTTAACAGTGATGAACAAACACTAAGCCTTGAGAAAGAATTTAGGAGGAGATGAAATCCATGTGTACAGACCACAAGCTAGTCAATGGTTAGTATTCTCCTGAGTTAGGGAGCTGGTAGTACTGATCCCTTCACCTCTCATTATGAGCCCATCCACAGCCTAGCTTGGAGCCAGTCCAGAGCTCTGCTCCTCTGCAAAGGCTAATACTTAAAACACAATGAAAAATCCCACTACTGCCACCACTCTCACTGCCATGTTATAGAAAGGTGTTCCAGGGACAGAGTGCTTACAGTAGCATCTTCAGTGACAAAGGACAGTTAGATAGTTGACTAGAAGTGGGTCTGGATTGGCAGTCATTAATTTGGCAAGATTTTCATCTCTCCCTAAATCTTACTTTTCTTATAAAACAAAGTAATCTTTCAAACAGCAGTAATCTCATTTATAGGAGTCCTTTCCTTTCCTCATATTTGCCCAAATGGTAAGAAGACAGAAACCTATGCAGTCTGAGACCTCCCTCCCTACCACCCTCTCCACCCTGCACTGATCTTCATTCCTCCTTGGTGGGCTTTCTGCTTTTGAGCTCTTGGAAGCAAAAACAGTTCCTGCTCCCAGCCATTTTCTTAGCCCATTTGGCTTGTCTGAAGCACATGGACCAGCTGAGCTTCTGTATTCTTTCAGGCAAACAACTGTACCTATTCTTGCCAAATGGCTTTGGTTGGCAGAAATAAAGAACAGGGCTGTTTCCTGTGATTCCAAAACCCAAAAAAGCTCTGCAAACCAAGAAAAGTTTTGGTAACTCTTTTAGTAGGAAACCCAAACTGACATGCTATTTATAATGCTATATTATTCCACTTAATATGATTATCCGCCCATTTCTCTGTAGAAATGCACTTCGTTATAGAGTGTTGACCAGATCCATTTGAGGTATTATGTAATATGAACAGTACATATCCTGTGTTAGGTTTTCCAAAAGTCCTGAACCATTCTGGACTCTGAAACATTTAGTCTCAAGGTTTCAGACAAGGGACTATGAATGTACTATGAACTAGTAGTGTTAAACTTGCTTGCTGAGCAACACAATTCCTTTCTGTTCAGATTCCTGTCTGGTGGCTGAGTTCTAGTAGTGAGCACCAGCCACCCTCACATTGTGAAACCAAGATGACTAACGACTATCCTGCTCATAATATCCATCGAAACAGTAAGGGTCAACTCTCAAATACCAACTTTAAGAGTTCATACATGCAATATTAAAGGCAAGATAATATATTTTTTCAAACATTAGAATGAGGTAGTGCAGTGAATTTCTTACTAATGAAAATCCCAATATCAGAATTCCAGGAATATGAAGCTCTCACCATTCACAATCTCATGGCCAAAAAACATCTTCACTCCTGGGATACTTCGACCAGTCTCCACATTCTTCACTGTTATAGAAAACAATTCAGTTCGTTAATAAAAAATAATATTCCCTAAAACTATAAGAAAATATGATGCTTCTCAAAAGTGCCCAATCTGAGTTTTATAAAAAATTCCCAAATTATTTTTCCCAAGGAATGAAGAGTGAACAAAAAATTACAAAGCTATAGTTTTGAATCAAGTAGACTAAAAAACAGAGGAAACCGCTCTGGCCGCTGTGGCTTAATTGGTTGGAGCATTGTCCCATAATCCAAGTAGATTGCAAGTTTGATTCCTGGTCAAGGAATACGCTTAGGTAGCAGGTTTAGTCCCTGTTCAGGGCATGTATAAGAGGCAACAAATCAATGTTTCTCTCACATTGATGTCTCTCTCCCTTTCTTCCCCTTCCCTTCCCCTTTCTGTAAAATCAATAAGCATGTCCTTGAGTAAGGATTAAAAAGAAAAAAAAAAAAAAAAACAGAGGGAACCTGCGAGGAACTAAAAGGGCAGCAGTAGCACACTGAATCTGAACTACTCCAAAGAAGCAAAGGCTGGGTAGCTCAGTTGTTTAGAGCATCATCATCCTAATACACCAAGGCTGCAGGTCTGATTCTCTGGTCAAGGCACTTAAAAGAATCAACCAATGAAAGCATAAAGAAGCGGAACAACAAACTGATGTTTTTCTCTCTCTAAAAATCAATAATAAATAAAAATTTAAACTTCTTCCAAGAATATGCTAAAGCCTTTGGGGCTAAGTATATATACTTACTATGTTTTCATTGATTTTTATTCCATCAAACTCCAGAAGAATTTTAAGGCAGCTAACTATTTCTAGGGTTCATGCTCACAACATGCTACATGCTAAAAATATTAATTGGCAGGGACAACAATCAAATTCCTCATAGTAGTTAAGGAATTGGGAGTTTAGATGTCACGTGTACAACATGGTGTTATTTATCTAGATGGAAATGCTCACAGCAGCTGTTACATGAGAAAATACTTGTAATAATGGAAGCTAAAACAACTGTGTATACGACATACCAGACTTATATTATGTCAATTACATAAATCTGTGTCACTAAAGACTAGAGAGAAACTTACCAAAATATTTCATTTGGACTGAATGCTTTGTTGAACAAGCATGAGGCATTTACTGATTATTGTCTACTCAGTATCATCTATTCAGGCTAGAAACACGCTCAACCTCCCTGTAGACAGTGGTGTCCTACTGGACTTCCAGCGCATCTTTTAGGGGACTGACTCAGCTGGGTGGAATACCCTTTCACTGTATTTCCTCTTCCTCTTGTCTGGAACTCCGAGGTTTGAGGTCATGTGCTAAAGATGGAAGAGCAGAAAGATGAAAAACCCCAGATCCCTGACAACTTTGGGGAGTGTCACAATAGGCCTGGGATGTCTGCCTTATAAGAGAGAATAAAATCCTAATTTGTTTAAGCCCCTGGAAGCAAATCCTTCTAGCACCTGAGCATGGTTCCTAATGACACAGCATTAAAATTTGCAAGTAACTAACTTGAAAATTCTTATTCCTCCCACTTAAAAATTTTTTTAAATTTAATTTATTTATTTAGAGAGAGGGGAAGAGAGGGAGATAAACATCACTGTGTGGTTGCCTCTTATGTATCCCCTACTGGGGACCTGGCCTGCAGCCCGGGCATGTGCCCTGACTGGGAATCGAACCAGTGACCCTTTGCTTCCCAGTCCAGTGCTCAATCCACTGAGCCACACCTCACTTAAAAATCTTTCAGATTGTTTCACATTGCTTTCAGAAGTGTCAAAATGATATGATATGTAAGATCCTTCTAAATTATCCATGCCTACTTCTCCAGCCTTATTTCTCACATCTTCACCACTAAAATTTACTTAGGTTTTCTAAATGCAGTAAATTTTCATGTCTCTATATTTTTGTACATGCTGCTACTTCTGCTTAAAACAATAGTTCTCTCAAAGTGCTCCCCAGCATAGCATCAACAATACCTGTAAACTTGTCAGAAATGTAAATTTTGATCCTTGTCCTAGACCTTAAAAAAACAAATCTTCCAGGTTATTCTGATGCACAAAGTTTGAGAACCACTCGCTTAAAACAGCCTGCCCCTTTCTTCCCATCCAGTTAATTCCTACTCACCTGAATAAAGTTCTGCCATCAATTCCTCCTTTAGGGAAGCCTTCCCCACTGTACTAATCCTACCACTCAGATCTAAATTACCGGTACCTGAACCTTTGTGTTTCCAATGCATCTTGTGCGTCCCTTTATCAGAGAGGATATCACACTGTAGTACCGCATTAACACTTCCTTATGTCTCATTACTAGGCTAAGTTTTTTGAGTATGGGGACAGTGTTTTGGTTTTTTTTCTTTTTAAAGATTTTACGCATTTAAGAGAGAGGAAGGAGAGAAGAAAGAGAGAGTAACATCAACACGTGGTTGCCTCTCATGCCTTCAACCCAGGCCTTGTTGGGGACCTGGTCTGCAACCCAGGCGTGTGCCCTCACTGGCAATCAAACCAGCGACCCTTTGGTTTACAGGTCGGCACTCAACACACTGAACCACACCAGCCAGGGCAGAGATGTTACTCTTATCTATATCCTTACTACCTAACACAACCCTGGGATATAAAACTACCAATAAATAGTTACCAAGTGAATTAATGCTAGCCCACAAAAGTCATAATATGGTTAACAATAACACTAATCTCTCAAATGCCCTTTATGCATATTTTAATAGTGAACTTGAAACTTACCATGCCAGGAAAACAACTACCCTAGCAAGTCAATATTCTAGCTGAATAAAAAACTACATATTGTAGCTTCAAGGTAAACACATGGAAGATCCAGGAGAGTGGCACACCCAGAGAGGGCATGAGAGAGTCCCTTCCCACATACCTTGCCCTACGCATCTCTCCCATTTGGCTGTTCCTGAGTTGTATCCTTAGTAATATACCAGAAATGAAGCTGGGAAGCTGGCAGGTGTAGGTTATTTTATTACCATGAGAATAATATTGGGTTGGCCAAATAGTTCATTTAGTTTTTTCTGTATGATGGCTGTAGTAGTGCTTAGTTGTTTTAACTTCAATTGTAACAATTTTGTTAGATTGTATTGTGACAGTTGTCATATTATCGTGCACTTAAAAAAAAACCTTACCAAAATCAGTGGGGTTTTGTGCAGTTATTTTAATATTGAAGATGGAAGAAGATATGTAACATATTTGGCATATTTTGCTTTATTTCAAGAAAGGTAAAAACACAATGGAAATGCAAAAAAAGATTTGTGCAGTGTATGGAGAAGGTACTGTGACTGATGGAACATGTCAAAAGTGGTTTGTGAAATTTCTTGGTACTATTGACATTTTGGCCAAATAATTCTTTACTATGGGACAGTCTAACGCATTGGAAGATGTTTAGAAGCACCCCTGGCCTCTACCCAGTAAAAGCCAATAGCAGGAGATAGCTGACATACTCAAAATATCCAAATCAAGAAAGTTATTCGAGAAAATGAAAAATGCATGGTTTTGGGGGGTTTTTTGCAGAAAACACTAAATGGACTTTTTGGCCACCCCAATAGACAATCACTGAGGTGGCAGAGCGGGAGCACAAGGCATGAGATCCCTCCTGGCATGTGCACTATTCCTAAGCAACCTACCTACCTATGGACTTCTTTTTGCATAAGAAAAATGTCTTTGTGCATTTGTCTGTTGAAGATGAAAGCAATTCTAACTAATGGAGAAGTTATTTATAATTTCAAGATGTATATGGAGAAAAATGAAAAGAACTACCCAATCAAAAAACTCTCTATATTGAAATTGTCCACTATCATGTCAATAAAAGTACAGAAATGGAGACAAATTGGCAAATGCAGCTATGTTGTTCTGCTAGAGAAAATAGCATTCTAATCTTCCTCTTACCCCTTGCCTAAAATAGGAATAATGCCTACTAACGATCCCTGTGGAGCCCACAGTCATCATTCGAACTCAGTTATTAATCTCTATTAAATGGCAGAAGAGTATGAGAAATAACAAGAGACCTTTCTTCAGGACAACAATCTTGTTAGGGTCCACATGCTGGAGCACTCCCTCAAAGATGCCACAGACTAATGTGAGTTTCACCCTTCTCCACAAAATCTGATTGAGGAAATGGTAGTCACTGCTGAGATCCATGCCTTTTGATTCCAGAAGCAGTCTTCACATAATCTTCTTTGAGTATCTAAGCATTTGAAAATAAAAGAGATCTACTATTTTAAAAATATTTTGGGAAGAGTGGGTTTTTTTCCTCTTTCCCCATACCTGGAAGGGACAAGAAAATAAAAACTATGAGAGTAATTCAGTTTCGTTCAACTTTTTAGAATGATAATGAGAAAAAGATCTCTTTAAGCACCAACTCTAATATTTACATGGGAAACAGAAAACCATAGGACTTAAGGCAAGGTAGGCTTGGCTTTTTTGTCTATAAAATGCGGTAATACACTCTTTCCTTCCTTTGCTAAATAAATAAGCACTTAGAGGCTTTTAAATGGCACACACTTATACCTTCTTAATACCAACCCAAAACATGAAAAGAACAAATGAACAAAAATTGATACTAACAACATTTGTGACACATGCTGCAATAAGCTGTTTACCCAGAAATGTCTGTGATCTACCTACCCTCTTCTGGATCTAGCCCCTTCTAGATCAGTAACATTTCCAGAGTTTGACATTTCCAACCAAATCATAAGTGACTTAGAACTCTCACAATTTATCCATTACCATTCCAGCTGCCATGTCACTGCCAGGGCCATTCCATCCAACCTGGGCCACAGCTCGGGCACTGGGCTGCCGGAGTGTCATCAACAAGTCATCACCTAACAGATTAAACTGCCACATGCCATACACAAGTTTTATAAATCCAACTGTTTTGTGAAAATGATGCGTGCTTATTATAAAGAATGATAATGCAGAAATGTACAAAGAAAAAACTTTATCTTATAGACATAAGTATCATTCATAGTAGACACTCATATTTGTAGTGTAACACTGTATATTAAAAGATGAATCTTTTTTAAAGTATCTTTTAGAATCCTGTTATTTGGATGTTCTTGCATATAGAACCCCAGATAAGTTTTCCTCTATGGTTGAAGCTGCTTGCCTTTGCCACACTACAAATAGTCAACCACTGAATTAGCAATTTACTTTAAAATGAAAATTGATGCAATAATTAAGGCATAATTCAACTAGGAAGAAGGTAAGAAGATAAGTAGTAATTTAAGCTAGATACATAACCTATATTTTTATATTTTAAGGTCTAGCAGGGGTGTCCAAACTTGTGGTGTCTCAAGGCTACACTGAAAGAAGAAGAGTAGTTTTGGGCCACAAATTAAATACACTGCAACATGTAATCACACACACACAAAAATCTCACAATATTTTAAGTAAATTTACGATTTTGTGTTGGGCCACATTCATAGCCATCCTGGGCCGTAAACAGCCCACGGCCCCAGGTTGGACACCCCTAGGAGAGTGCTTTCACAAATGTTATTTGTTGCCTACAACAACCACTGCCTAATTTACATATGCAGAAACCGAGGCTTAACAATTTAAGACACCTGCCCAAAGTCACACATTTAGAAGGTAATGGAACCTGAACTAAAACCAGGCACCTAGGGGAGGGTATGTGTAGTCTAGGGCAAGATCAAGCGTCAAGCATCCAAAGAATATTGTCACCAAAGTGTCTGAAAAAATCATTTTTCTTTTTTTAAGTCAATCCAATAGGCAAAAGGGGAATTTTCACAGAAACAATAGGACATAATACTGGAAAAATCAGACCAAAAATTCACTTATATTTTTAAAAGATAAGAAACAAAAGTTTGTGAAATGCTCGGACAGTAAGGCAACTTAAGAAATGCTAAAGTCAGAAACAAACAAACAAACATTAACACAAAGCAAAGAAAGCTTTGACTGAGGACACCTGCAAATGGAAGATTCAAGATTAGGAAGGAAAAACTAAGGTCAGGATCTAGAGATGGGCTTCAAGACGGACTCACAACAGGGACACTCAGGTGGCTGACATCAAGATTTTTCTACCATACCCATACACACAAGATTAAAAAGAAGCTCCTATGGCTTCTAGACAGGCATATCAAAACCATCACACTCTGGACCTGGAAGCAGACATCACCAGCTCCCTCAAGAGCAAATCAGTAATGAAAACAACTCAGTGAGTCTAGAACCTAGGTCTCGTGGTAAGCCATCAAAGTCTTAGGCAAAGGTAAAAACTAATAACCCAAGTTAAATTGGGCAGCTTGCTAAGAGCCCCGCAGTGTGTAGGTATTAAGTGATAGCGCTTAGAATCTGGTTCTAATCATATCTCAAACCTAATCTGTACAAAACATCTCAAGGCCTGGCCCAGCAGCTCAGTTAGGCCAAGGTGGGGAAGGCTGTGGGGCTTGATCCCAGGCCCCTGCACATACAATAATCAACCAATGAATGCATAAATAAGTGGAACAGCAAATCGATATGTGTGTGTGTGTGTGTGAAAATTAAATTTTAAAAATTTAAAAAGAAAAAAAACACTTCAGGGGTGGTGTGAGGAGGTTCTTAAAAGGCACAGGAAAAGACCTACCGGTAGTTCACCTGAGAGGGTGTACTAATTTAACAGGTAGGGTTTCTTCAAGAAAATAAAAATGTGTCATAGGAACAAAATGCAAAATTCCTCATTTTAAAGGCAAAGTAATAAAATAATAATAATAAAAGGCGAACCATACACTAGGAATTTACTCTTCTCTGCTGTTTGGGTTTTTATCCGAAGGGAGTTTGGGAAATCCTGACCCAGTTTTCGCCAAACGGTGAGTTCCTCCAGCTTCAGTCTTTACAACTTTAAAACTGGATTGCTGTTGAAGAAGAACTCTGGGCGAGTTCCAAGCCCAAGGCGGCGGTTATCTAAGGACAAGGGAAACTTAGGGAGCACAGGGAACCCGCTCAACTCAACGGACGCGCCCAACAAGAGGTCCAGCTGTTTCCTGAAGAGCCAATCAGAGCGCGGCCCTGAGACAGATTTCCCAGTGCCCCTAGTGGCCAGGAGGGAGAGAGGGGTTCTCAGAAAAATAAAGAAATGCAACTCCCAGCTTGCGGTTCCCAGGAGACACACCCTAGAGTTAGCCCAAGCGACGTTTTGTCTATTTTTATTGTTTTTCTGCGCCGACTGCTACCCATAGGGTGGGATTTCTATGTTATAGTTCTGTGAGACCCTGCTTGGTTACGGGCTGCCTGTCACAAGTTAGCTTGTTGTAAAGTGAATCAACGGCATTGCCCCTTTAATTGCGGTCGCTAGAGCCAGAGTGGCATTGCCCTTTTAAGGAGTTGCATCACAGTTCCGGGGGCGGGGCTTATCGGTAAAGCTACTCGGCTGGGCGCTCTGGTGATTCATTCTGCTGCCTGAGCTAAGATCACCGACGACGTCGTCTCCGGCGCCGGGCTCAGCCTCGCTCCTGATTGGCCACCCTGGAGGCCGCCCCCGGCCGCGCACCACCCACGGGTACCGTCCCCAGTCGGCGGTGGATACGCTACCCTCTACCTTCCTGACCCCTGGTCCTTCCTCTTTCCCCCCCTTCCCTCCGACTGCCGCAGTCCCTTCTTGCGCGCCTGCTCCCGGAGGAGCTCCTGACTCAGTGATGGGGTCTCGGGCCTCTACGTTACTGCGGGACGAAGAGCTTGAAGAGATCAAGAAGGAGACTGGCTGTGAGTTCGGGTAGCGGGTGGGAACGCGACTACGCGCCTCCGGCAGGCTTCAGGACCGAGGGCTGGTGCCGCTGAGGTCTGGAGCTGGGGTACCTGAAGGTGGCGGGGGCACTGGAACTTCGGGGCTGAGAGCTGGGGAACCTGTTCTTCCAGCTACGGCTACCCGGAGCGGTGTACTGGCTCTTGCGGGGGCTGTCCTTTGCCTCAAAGGCAGGCGTGTAGATTTCTTGTAGGGCTCAGACACTGCTCATTTCTCCTCTCCAAGCTAAGGAAGGCCCCCAACCCCCTTTGTCTTTCTTCTCACCAACCTGAAATTCGGGAATTCTAGATGGACCCTGTAGAAAACAAAATTGCTTTCTGGGCAAGGACATAAAAACCACTGACATCTGTAGGAAATCACAAACAAAATCTTGCCACAGCTGGAAAAAAACACCTGCAGGAAGTCAGTCATATAGTAAGAGTTTGAAAGACGTGACTCGGTGACCGGAGACCTTGAAAGAATCAGGGATCTGACAGTATAAGACTTACGAACTTGTGGAGAAAAAGCAGGATACTGTGACCGCTGGTTTTTACTGACTCAGGATGCTTGCTGTCCCGATTTCTGCTATATTGATTTCTACTGTGCTCTTGTACTTTATGCAGTCACCATGGAAATTGGATATGCTCCAAAAACTTCAGCGTGAATTTGTACTAGGAACTGATTTTTTTAATAGTCCAGTCTATTTTTCATTAACCTGAGCAAAGGAGTTAACAGGGCTTTGGGAATTCAGATCTCTGTAAAACACCATCACCCACGTTGGTATAGCCCTTAATAATGCATATGATACTTTCTATTCTCAATAATCCATTGTGACTCTTGTATTTTACATGAGTTAATGTAAGCATCTGAGATTTGTCTCTTCATGATACCTGTCTTTGATAATGAGGTGACCAGTGAGTAACTCAGCGGCCTATATGCAGTTAATATTGGGGTATAGTGAGAGAACTACAGAATTACATAGGCAGTGTGACCTGAGATCAGTTAAATGCTGTCCATTGCCTTCTGACAAATTAAACTTTCTAGAACCTTAAAGTTGGAAGGGCTATTATTTAGCCTCAGTTCTTGTCAGAGTGGATTACTGCTTTCAGCATCCCCTAACATATGGCCGTTATGCTTCTCCATAAAGACTAATGATGATGAGCTCACTACATACCATTGCTGTCCTTCTCATGGTTTTGGATAATGACAGAAAGTAGTTAGCTGTTTATAATGTGCAGTATTTGTTTGGCTACTTGACTTTCTGGTCAAGCATTTTATTACATTTTATGGCCACGATCCCTGGCCTTTCTTAAAAATATAAGAACTGTGTTAGGTCTAAGGTGACACCAGAGGTAAAACATTTGTGCTTAAAATAAAAAGTCACATTAATGAGGAAATGTAAAGTGTGAGGATGGGAAAAGGCTATTTTTTGCCTCAAGATAAAGGGAGTAGTAATCCCATTCTGACATATTTACATTTGACCAAATGAAAAGGGCCTGGGTGCTATAGGACTCTGGGTTATTTTACTGTATGACTTGTGGAAACACAGAACTAAGTACTCCTGGAAGAGCTGTTTTCCTCCTTACCAAAAAGTGAGTCAAGCCTCACAGAGAGTCTTAATCACAACCAGTGCAAATGTATGTACTGAGCCAGAAAGCCTAAAGAAACAAGTACTTACTAAATTTCTGCAATGTCTGTATTCAGTACTGTTCTAGGTACTCCAAGCAAATGGTGATGAAAGATGCCCATGACTTGGTGGTGGAGATAAACCCACAAGAGTTAGGATTAGCATCAAGACATAAGGTTACTGAAATTGTATGACACCCACGTAGAGAACTCAGGGAAGCTATGTGGGCTGCCCTTATGGAGGACAGGCACTGGGCTTTGACTCATGCATGAACAGGTTACATTTGGGTAAATTAGGGCATTTTGGTGGCTTCCAAGAGCATTACCCCAAGCCTGCTACACAGTTATTCCTCCTCACTGGGAGTTGAGTCATCAGTTTATCTAGTTAGTGTCCATCAGCAGAATTTATTTTATTTTATTTTTTAAGTAAGTTTAAAAGTTTTCAATTACAGTTGACATACAATATATTAGCTCCAGGTATACAATGTAGTGATAGTTATATAACTTACAAAGTGATCACCCCGATAAGTGTAGCATCCACCTGACACCATACATTGTTATTAGAATATTATTGCAGAGTTAATTTTTAAAGTAGTAGTTTGACATGGTGGGGGAGAGAGAGATGGAATTTGTCCTGTTTTTATCTGCTTCTCAGTTTGGGAAACTATCAATCAGAAACACTTCAAGTTAAACACAAGTGTAAGACATTTCACTGTACCCTTTGCATGTAAGGAAATGTAGCATAATTGAGGAAAATTGACTTTAAATTACAAGCAATAAAAGATGTAAACGATTTTTCCTAAGTCTAAATTGATTAGAATTCATGTATCACTAGTGTAGCCAGCATTTGAAATTTAATCTAAGTGATTCTAGGAAAGTAATTATAGGTAAGAATTACTGGTAATACCTAATGTTAATTAAGCCTAGAATTAGTTAACTCTTCCTTCCTGAGAGTTAATTTTGGTATTCTTGATTTAGTTTATTTTGTATTTCCTTTCATTCTTTAGCTTTTAAATTTTTTCCTTTGACACTCTAGTAATGAGTTGAGTCATTTCCCATACAAGAATCAACCAATGAATGCATAAGTGGAACAACAAATCAGTATTTGTCTCTACCTCCCATTATCCTTTCCTCTCTTTCTCTAAAATCAACAAATTAAAAACGCTTTTTAAAAAAATAGTCATTTAGAACATATGCAGTCCTATGTTCATTGAAGCATTATTTGCAATAGCCAAGATATGGAAGCAACCCAAGTGCCCAGGAATAGATAAGTGGATAAAAAAATGGTAATGTGTGTGTGTGTATACATATACACAATGGAATATTACTTGGACATAAATAAGAAAAATCTTAACATTTGGGAAAACGTGAATGAACCTAGAGGGTATTATGCTAAGTGAAATAAGACAGAGAAAGACAAATACCATATGGTTTCACTTATATGAAGAATCTAAAGAGCAAAATAGCCCTGGCTGGTATAGCTCAGTGGATTGAGTACAGGCCTGTAAACCAGAGGGTTGCCAGTTTGATGCCCAGTCAAGGCACATTCCTTGGTTGTGGGCCAGGTCCCCCAGTAGGGGGCCACGTGAGAAGCAACCACACACTGACGTTTCTCTCCCTCTCTTTGTCCCTCTTTTCCCTTCTCTCTAAAAATAAATAAAATCTTTTAAAAAATGGTGGATGTTTATTTTTTTTAAAAGAGCAAAATAAATAGAAACAGACTCAGATACAGAAAATAGACTGATGGTTGCGAGAGGGAGTGGAGTTAGGAGGCTAGCTGAAAAAGTTGAAGGGATTCCCTGGCAAGTGTAGCTCAGTGGATTGAGTGCGGGCCTGTGAACCAAAGGGTCTCTGGTTTGATTCCTACTCAGGTCATATGCCTGGGTTGCAGGCCAGGTGCCCAGTGGTGGCCATGTGAGAGGCAAACACCCATTGATGTTTCTCTCCCTCTCTTTCTCCATCCCTCCCCCTTTCTCTAAAAATAAAGAAAGAAAATATTTTTTTAAAAAGGTGAAGGGATTAAGATATACAAATTGGTTGTAACTATGAAATAGTCATGGGGATATAAAGTACAGCATAGGGAATATAGTCAATAATATTGTAATAACTAGGTACAGTGCCAGATGGGTACTTGAAATATCGGGGGGGACACTTTGTAAAGTATTTGATTGCCTAACCATTATGCTGTACACCTGAAACCAATACAAAATAATATTGAATGTCAACTGTAATTGAAAAATAAAGAGTAGATTCAAGTAAGGGAAAAAATTGAGTTCCACAATCACTTGAGGCAAATCGTGTAAATAAGAAGTAAAACATATTAATACAATGCCTGAATAAATATCAGAATATATATATCCACAAGAAAAGAAATAGCCACTTAATCCTGTGAAAATTAATTTATGCCAACTGATTAGTAATGAATACAGATTCATTTATTTTTAGTCTGCAGCTTCTGGTGTGTGTCATTTGGTATGGGGAGGGTATTAAATTGGTTTACGA